CTTGCAAGTGCTTGTTTAACGAATGTGCGCGGCGCTGAGGCAAGAGCCACATTTTCAAAACCACACGCCCTCAATATGTGAAGCTCTTGCCAATGTTCAAAACGAATGCGCGCGGCGCTGATGCGAGGAGAATCACATTCTGAAACCGGCCCGCCCTCCATCTGCGAGGCTGCTGCCACTTTGTAGGCTTCAGGGCGGTAAATTGTGAGGAAGTCTCAGGCGAAACGCCCGGCCCGCCCTAAAACCTGGCCTCGGGGTGCGACATGGACAATTTAATCATAAGGATGCGAAATGGACGGGGAGAGGGAGGGGGAGGGGGAGTGGGAGAGGGAGGAGGAAGAGGACGACGAACCGCCCGAGTACGGAATCCGTGCAGTGACACCGAGCCCCCACCGACTCACCACACGGTGTGGTCACCACGCCGCTTGGGTCGAAGGCTGCAGGAAACGGGACCTGAAGGGGTCCAGGAGGAGGTAGGAGGTAGGAGGTAGGAGGGAGGAGGAGGAGGAGGAGGAGGAGGAGGAGGAGGAGGAGGAGGAGGAGGAGGAGGAGGAGGAGGAGGAGGAGGAGGAGGAGGAGGGGGGGAGGAGGAGGAGGAGAGGAGAAGGACGAGGAGGAGGAGGAGGAGGAGGAGGAAGGAGGAGGAGGAGGAAAAGGAGGAGTACCCTGGAGCCCCGAATGTGCACGGAAGGAGCACTTATCTTCGCCCCCTTGAGCACCGCCCGACAGGAGGAGGCGGCGGCGGGCGGTGCGGCGCCAGCCCTGCCCGGCGTCGCCAACCGCCGCCAGGATCGGGCGTTTCGTAATTGGAGGCGGGGTACCAAAACGTTGTAGTGACGGACCGCGCGGTGATTTCAAACTCTGCAGGGACTTCACCGTAGGGTCCGTCACCAACAGTCGCCCGAGACATTCTCGAGGAACGGCCCGAGTACGAAATCCGTGCAGTGACACCGAACCCCCACCGACTCACCACACGGTGTGGTCACCACGCCGCTTGGGCCGAGGCCTGCAGGAAAGGGGCCCTGAAGGGGCCCAGGAGGAGGAGGAGGAGAAGGACGAGGAGGAGGAGGAGGAGGAGGAAAAGGAGGAGGAGGACCCTGGAGCCCCGAAGGTGCACGAAAGGAGCACCTCTCTTCGCCCCGTTGAGCAGCGCCCGACAGGAGGAGGCGGCGGCGGGGGGTGCGGCGCCGGCCCTGCCCGGGGTCCCCAACCGCCGCCAGGATCGGGCGTTTCGTATTTGGGGGCGGGGTACCAAAACGTTGTGGTGACAGACCACGCGGTGACTTCAAAATCTGCAGGGACTTCACCGTAGGGTCCGTCACCACCAGTCGCCCGAGACATTCTCGAGGAACGGCCCGAGTACGGAATCCGTAACCCCCCACCGACTCACCACTCGGTGTGGTCACCACGCCGCTTGGGTCGAGGGCTGCAGGAAAGGGGCCCTGAGGGGGCCTAGTAGGAGGAAGAGGAGGAGGAGGAGGAGGAGGAGGAGGAGGAGGAGGAGGAGGAGGGGGAGGAGGAGGAGGATGAGAAGGGCAGGAGGAGTAGGAGGTCTCTGGAGGTCTCTGGACTCATGCTGACGTGTTCAGGAAGAGATATGCTGTTGATGATCGGTGCAAGTGGTGCCTTCAGGTTAAGGGGACGGTGTCTCATAGGCGCTGGGGCTGCGATGGCGCCAAGTGCTCAGGAGGGACCACGACCACAGTGGGATGGGGGCGGCAGCTTTGGCCCAGACGCAACCCGACATCAAGTGGATGAGGGCCACTGTAGTTTCCAAGAGGACCCAGTTTCCGAAGATCCTTCAAGGAGCTAAGTATCGGTTGGCGATCAAGCCTGCCAGTGGCGTGCTAGGGAGTACCGTCTGCATAGACGGCTCGGCCTATGACAGCGACATTCGATGGCTTCTCCGTGCTGGATGGGCGCTCGTGTCCATCTGCCCGAACATGGAGATTGATGCAGTGGCCTACGGGCCTTCTCCCCTCCCAGTGCAGGACGTTCCGCCCAGCGAGCTGTACGCATTCTACATGGCCCTGTATCTAATGGGGCCTAGCATCCACATCATCACGGATTGCAGAATGGTGTATGATGGACGGAACACAGGTAGGGAGGGGACGGTGAAATCCAACAAGTGCTACGCAGAGCTCTGGCGGTCGATCTGGTTCAGGATCGGATCGACGACGTCGTCGCAAATTCAGTTGCTGTGAGTTGGATGCCTTCGCATATGACGAGGGCGACAGCGGAACAGAAAGGCCATGAGCCTCATTGGTTCAGAGGCAACCAGGAAGCAGACCTCTGGGCCAAGAGGGGTGCCAAGGCGCACCCTGTCAACCATTATCTCCGTGATCGGCTTCGGCATCATCATGATCAGGTTACGCTTATGCCCAGGTATATGGTGGCTGTTCTCAAGCATGTCCATCATCTGGGGTATCCTGGTGTGTCTCCATACTCTGGGCGTGCCAAGAGAGAGACTAGGAATTCGGAGTCCCCGATTCTCGAGATA